AAAACTTAAAGGAAACAACAACGATGCATTAGTGACACTGAACAAAACTAACGTTATGGTCATGAATAAAACAGAAGGAACTTGTTCATGCAGACTGATTCTACAATTAAAATAAAAAATGTTTTTCATGATGTCGATATATGAGAAAACACGATCACACATGTGATTTTTCCAGATTTTTCATACGTAAAAATGCCACCCTCGTGAATAATGCAAATCTGTTTTTGTTTGTTTGTTTGTTATTAATTCTGGTTGTTCTTAATGACCTCAAACTGATTTTATGTGGTACACAGTGCTCAAAAATCTGTCAAAATGTTTTAGTACAACTTTGATAAGCTACAAAGCCACACTGTTTCATGGACTGTCGGAGCATTATGGCTGCCGGAGTCAGGAGCCAGTACCTATTACTCCTCGAGGAGTAATGTGTGCATAAGGACGTCACGTTCAGGCCGGCAGCCATTTTGGTAGGCAAAAAGCGTCCATATCAACAAGTCAACATCAACATCATCAACACTTTATCGGCGTACATCAACAGTCGTCATACCACAGTACAACATCAACATCACATCATCATTAGTCACATTCAGTGACTTAGACTAAGATGATGAAGTCATGTCAAAACAATTAAATGCAAAACCTACTTCAAAATACGAGGACTTATCAAGACACACATAGGCAACGCAACTGTCAACACAAATGACAAACTTAACTTTTTGCCTACCAGCCACTGCACACGTGCGGAACAGCCAGATGTAAACAAAAACAATGTTTTCTCGTATTACCATCGACAGACAGATTTGTGCAGTTTAAATGTTCGACTTGTAATCTGTGAACATCTGTAGCATTTAAACTGCACAAATCTATCTGTTTATGCTAATATCTACATCATGAAATTTTAATTCTAGACTCAGTAACAAGTTACTTGTTAATTACTTCTGTTTTATTCATGATCATAACATGAGTTTAGTTTCTTGTGTGACTAATGCTGGTCGTTGTTTCCTTTAAGTTTTGCTCTTTCTTCTCTTGATAGTTGTGGATAAATTGTTCATGTTAGAATGTTTGTCCTTTGTGGAGCTTGTTGGTTGAAGATTTGGTGATGGGGCAGATTTATGAAGCTGATGAGAGACACACATTTGTACACACACATTTACACACACATTTACACACACACACATTTACACACACATTTACACACACACACATTTACACACACATTTACACACATTTACACACACATTTACACACACATTTACACACACATTTACACATTTACACACACACACACATTTACACACACATTTACACACACATTTACACACATTTACACACACATTTACACACACACATTTACACACACATTTACACACACATTTACACACACATTTACACACATTTACACACACATTTACACACACATTTACACACACATTTACACACACATTTACACACACATTTACACACACATTTACACATATTTACACAGAAAACCATTAACCGGGAGTTACATTTACCGACATCGTGGCTCATCTAGCAGTTGTGAAAAAGGTCTGTTAGTCACTACTAAACTGGATTCTCTTCAAATCATGTATTTGTTTTTTTGTTGCTAATGTGTGTATTGTGTTCCCATGGTGACAGCTGAAAATTCCACCAGAGAGATACATGTAGAACACCCTCAGTGTGATTAACTTTTCACTTTTTTTCTAGTTCTGCCAAAGTTTTCTGTTGAAGTGGAGGCTCCAGATGAAGTCAGCATCGCTCTGGAAGAACTCTCCTTTAAAGTGTGTACAAAGTGAGTCAGATTCCCTCCCTGTGCCTCAGATGCCCTCCCTGTGCCTCAGATGCCCTCCCAGATGTTGTTGTGGTTGGATAATACAGTTGTACATGATTGTTTTCAGATACACGTTTGGTCAGTCGGTGCCGGGGCAGGTGGAGGTCAGTGTGTGCAGAGACTTTGAACCACAGAGATACATCCTGAGTCCAAAAGTAAACCCCCCTGTGTGCCACAAAGAAGTACAGGAGGTACATAATAGTACTGCTGCTGCTACTACTACTACTACTACTACTACGACTACTACTATTACTACTACTGCTGTTATTACTACTACTTGTAGGTGCCCAAAGATGGCTGTGCGTCCTTCTCCATTCCAACATCTCAGTTTAAAAACATCTCTCGGTTGGAAGCTGCATACAGCATAAACGCCATGATGATCGAAGAGGGAACAGGTACCTCAAACTACCATTACTACTTATTATTACTATATAATTTATTGTTTATTTGAACAGGGACAGATCCACAGACACAGATGAACACTGCAGGGATTTGTTTACAGCCAAATACAGTACAGTACAGTACAGTACAGTACAGTGTAGTACAGTACAGTATAGTGTAGTGTAGTACAGTATAGTGCAGTACAGTACAGTGCAGTAAAATATATTACAGTACAGTACAGTACAGTACAATACAGTACAGTGTGTACTGTACTAGTGTAGTATAGTACAGTGTAGTACAGTGTAGTACAGTACAGTACAGGGTAGTACAGTACAGTACAGTGCAGTAGAGCCACAGTGTCACAGTGGTGAGACGCACACAGAGGATCACAGCTGCAGGGTTCGTGTCGGACCAGATCGCTGTGAGGGGAGCAATTCTTAGTCCAGTTATTTAAACTGTGGTTTGAACCTAAACCTGATCCTTTTCCTCAGACCTGAAGCAGTCTGTGACGCAGAAGATCAAGATCTCGTATGAAATTGGAAAAGTGGAGTTTGTGAATCCTCCCAACAGATACAACCCTGGTGAAGTACTGGAGCTGCAGGTACTTTTACTCACTCAAACTGACGTTATTATTGTGTCTCTGGGAGTATTATGCTAAATATTTTTTTGAGCTTTCAAACATTTTTATGACATTGGTCCTTTCATCAAAAACATGCCTGAAGAGGTTTTTTTAGTGATCTCTGCCAGGAGGGTTTGAATAGGGCACTGGAGAGATCACTAAATTACTCAGACATGCATGGATGACTCTAAACCCTCTTCAGGTATATTTTTTGAGTTGATTTGCTTCATACAAAATGGATGGATTCTCCAAAGTGCAGATGTGAGTGAACAGCTGGTTTAACCCTCTCCAGGCATTGCAGATTTGCAACAGCTAAATGCCAATTACCAACTTACTCCAAATCTCAGGAGCCTTTTTTCCCATCCATGCTGATAAACTTGGACGATGGAGACTGTGCAAGAACGGCTACACACAAACGACCTGCCAGAAGTGCAAAGTACTTTTGTTATTTACAAAAAATAAAAATTGTTTCTTGGAGCACCACATGAAAAAGTGATGTTGTTCTGCCACTGTAAAGCTGTTACACTGTGCTCTTTGTTTTCATTGTTATGAAAAGTGGTATATACATAAAGTTAGCGTTCATGTCATTTTCAGTCTTCAGTGTTAATTTACCACACCAGACCAATGTTGCAAATCTGAAACATCCCAGAACGCATTGGATGTGAAAAAAAAGTCAGGATTGTATATTACTACCCCATATGATCATTTTCCCCAAATATCAGATTTTTTCCTGTTACTAAAATTTAATTTGAGCCTAAGAGGGTTAAATGTGTTTCTGTGCAGGTGAAGGTGGTGCATTATAATAACACACCAGTCTCCCACACTGAGGTCCATCTGATCACAGAAGATGACGATGAGCTCCAAAAGCTGAAGACTGACCAGGACGGACACGTTACCTTCAGCTTCAACACCAGCTCCTACTCAGACTCTGTCGGTCTCATGGTGGGTCCAGAGGTAGACCTAGGATAGACCTGGTTTAGTCCTGGTTTAATCCTGGTTTAGTCCTGGTCAGAGTCTGGTCAGGACTTGGATGGGAGATTACTGGGAATACAGGTGCCACAGGTGCAAACTGTTGTTGTGTCTTCAGGCAAGACACTTGACCCACATTACCTAGTATGAATGTGGTGTGTGTGAGTGTTGGTGGTGGGAGGGGCCGATGGTGCAGATTGGCAGCCTCTCTTCTGTCCGTCTGCCTCAGGGCAGCTGTTGTTACCATAGTTACTTGACTCCATTGAGTGTGGAGTGAATGAAGAATGCACAAAATCACAAAGTAACTTTAGCGTCTGAGAAAAGCAGACCTGCAGTCACCAGGTCATATGGAGCGAGTCCTGAGCTTCAGATGCAGCGGTGAAAGTGGATTTGTATTTGTCGTTCTGTAAAATGATCTACTGAGACCTTTCTCAACACTTTTATAGTGGCTCCTGTGTGTTATTGTGTCATTTTATAGGTCACTTATTTTCTTTGTATTGATACTTTGCAGTGGCATCATGTTGGGGGTGTTCTATTCTTGTACCTATGGTAGATTGTTCAGCAGTTTCCATGGTGATTTACTACTGTAAAATATACTAAGGGATGCTGTCTGTATTAACCCGCTGCAGGGTGCTCTTGGAAGGATCAGCCAGATGTCTTGAATAAGTGTGCTTTATTGAGTATTCAGCATTACTGAAATGGTGTAAGTGTGTGGTTGTTTATATTACACACACACTACCAAAGATGAAAATAACCTCTAAAAAAACACAACAACAAGAGCATGTCTCGCTGCTTGCAGTTCCAAAAAAAAACACTGAACCCCAGTACCTGGCCCCAGCCCTGCAAGATGGGGCCACATAAGAGGTTCTGGTTAAGTTAGAGTAAGTTCTGATTGGTCGCTGCACGCAGTGACAGTCTCCATGTGGAAGACCAAGAATACAAGGCCAAAAACAATTTTAAGAAAAAATACAACATGAATTTAAACTAGTGTAACCAGACTTCCCCATTTACCCGGGACAGTCCTGTGTCCAGCAGATTTATACAAAACCAGTGATTTGTCCAGTTTTATGCAAGAAATGTTCCAGGTGTATTTTGGACCAATCTGATCCCTGCCAACAGTAAAGAAAGGCATAAATTGTCATTTGTTTAGGTAAAATACAGAAAAGCTGCTTAAAAATGACCAAAACACAAAGAAAATCTGAC